GATGTAATAATAAACGGAGAGACACAAAGAAAACCGGAGGAAAGTTGAAAAGTTTGCGTAAAAACAGTAGGCCGCGTCTCGCGAAACAATTAAACAGCGACCCCTAGCGAGCGTGACTGGAACAATAAACACAAGAAACGCATGAGCATTTTTCTGTGTGGCTTTTGTCTTTGTGTAATGTAAATTGTACATACATTCGTAACTTACGAGAGACCTAGTTTTGAGAAATTTCCTTGAAATATTTTAAAATCGTCAGCTGACAGGTGCTTTTCAAATTACATTTAATCTTGTTTTTTTGTATTTATCTTCTTTTTCTTCTTCCTTGGGTTTTTGATTACACATCATTTTTGAAATTACCCACTACGATTCCAAATACTATTCCCCCTCTCTAAAAATTAATTAGTAAATAATGACTAATTTGATAGTTATTAGTGGCCACTTGTACCATGGAATACCATGATATCCCAAAATTTAACAGCCAGTTCTTATGTATAATTTTCACAAATTTTCAAAAATTAAATTAAATTAAATTTTGGGATACCATGGTATTCCATGTTTAACCATAGTACAAGTGAAAAAGCAGCCACTAATAACTGTTAAATTAGTCATTTTTGACTAATTCATTTTTAGAGAGCCCACTTTCTCTTCCTTTTTTTGTATTTTATATAAATTTTGTTTATCTTCTTCCTTTTCTTGACATTGCTTTTTGTTTCTATTCTTTCTCTTATTGTTCTTTTGCTTTAACTAAGGTTTTGTTTACTAAGTTTTTCAAAAAAATTTGAAAAATAATAACCTAATATTTAATTTTATAGTATGAGTATAAAAACGTATGGCTGGCCCTATACGCCCTATTTATGCTAGTGGAGTGCGGGACAGGGAGGGAAAACATTTTGGTTTTTGGGAGACATTACACTGACCCAAAACCAACTGCAATAATATTAATAAAAATCGTAGTTATTGTTAAACAAAAATAATAGATATATCAATTATCATTAGGGAGGGTTTGGCACAAAATAAAAATAATTACCTTATTATTGCACCGCAAAATCACTTTATAAGACACAACGTATTCTTTTTATTTTGTATTGCTGTAACCGACTAATTCCCGCGTTACTAAGACAAATTTTACTGCTTGGGTAGTATGTTTAATTTTTTGAAGCCGAAATTAGAGGATATCATTCCGCCAAGTATTTTTCTTAAAACTTTAACATTTTTTTTATAGAAATCATTGATAATATTATCGTATATAATACCACTAGTGGTAAAATTTTACCGATAAAATTTTTGATTTTTATACGAATGTTTTTTTCTTGGAAATTACGCAAGTGGCATTAAATTTTAAGACCACGAGCCGCTAGGCGAGTGGTTTTAAAATAATGCCACTTGCGTAATTTCCAAGGAAAAATCATGAGTTAATAAAAATCAAAAATTTTTTCAGGGAAAATTTTATCACGAGTGGTATTCGGCAAGACTATTTCACGAATATTTTTTTAGGTACAAAAAAGGTTTTAATTAAATATTTATTCAAGCATTAAATTTTCAAATGAAACTACAAAAACTAACCAAACTTACAAACTAGAAAAACTAATCCAAACCTAACAAAAATGTAATATGAAAATCATTTGTAATAATTATTAATAGTAAAATTGCAGTTTTGATAAACAGCAGCTTGCTGGTTTTGATGTTCATGGTGAACTGTGTTCAAAGAATTTGTGAAGGGAATAAAAGATGAACCTTCAATTCGATTTTCCACTTCAACTGGTCTCATTTTTTCTACCATATTAGAATGATGTGCTGCATCAAGCTGAAGATAAGGTTTGATGGACTGCCCGTGCGAGTGCCCAGTTATCTTGATTAGTTGTTGTTCTCCTATTCCTTGCTTGGCTAATGTGGAAACAGCCATTTAGAGAGGTTATTGAAACCCAGTGGAGAATTTTTAAACCAGGGCCCTTTTTGCCAGTTTGGGTTAGGTGTAATAAACAGCCTGTCAGTTGTAATGTTTTTACCTCTTTTTGACAGTAGCATTAAAAGCAATCGAACAGGGCAAAATTCTGGTTTTTGGTTGTTTTTAACTAGCCATTTGCTCGTTGACAGTTGTTTTGACCCTCCCTGATTTGTTTTAGAAAATATTGTATTATATTCAATTCTTTCCATAAACTTTCCTTCTGAATCTAGTTCTTTTTTGAAAAAATGTATTTTACTGTACGCAGCTTCATTGCCCCTCCATGCAAGTTCAAAAGAACAAATATGAAAATTCTTCCTTTGCAATCCATCCGGGCAGTTTTCATCCCAAAGAGACACCATTTTGTAAATATTCTTTATATCAAGTGCTTTTGAACTAACTTTTTGATTTTTAATTTCTTTTTGCAATATTTTCCTCTTGGCATTGCGCGCATTACGCGCCTTTTGGAACTGCAGGTCTGTGAAGGGATTAAAAACAATGTTGTATTCTGTAAAGTATTTTTCTTGTAACATCTTTGCTGTCACGTTCCATAACGTCTTTATACAGTGTTCTTTATAGTCAGACCCATCCAGCTTCTTCATATTGAACGCATAATCTTCTAATATATTTACAAGTTCACTTAGTGGTGTAGACTGCAGCAACTGGTATCCTTTTGCCTCACAAAAATCCATAAATTGCTTCCAAATGGATGTATTCGTTTTTTTGGTGTTTTTAGGCACTGTTTCTTTAACTGCGGATTCAATTTCTGCATGATTTTTTTGACCGAAACGCATTTTTTTTGACATTTTTCTTTTAAATTAGAAACGTCAACATTGAAAATTATTTTTCGCATAGTAACCAATAGGTTGCTATGCCACAAATATAAACGAGTGGTTTTTTCACCTGAATAGTAGTTTTATCGCTGCAAAACTGAAAAAACCACTCGTTTTCTGAAATCTGATTGGTCCAAAAAGTAATGAGTGGAATAGTCGGGGGTAATTACACAAGTGCTTAAAAATTATCGATAATTTTGCTTGAAAGCATATTGCCTAAAAAATGCATGAGTTCATTTTCATATTTTGGAAAGAGCCCGACACCGAAGGTGGAGAGCTCTTTCCTCAAAATATGAAAATGACCGAATGCATTTTTTAAAAGGCAATATGCTTGAATGCAAAATTATCTGATTATTTTTATGCACGAGTGTAATTTGTTTAGATAATTACACGAACACTAAACTAATTAAATCAAAGAATAACATTTTCAAATATTTTTTTTTGTTTGCAGTATTTTTTGGTACACTATTTTTCACATTTTCATTAATTGATTCAAATGATTCTTTACCAAAACGTGACACTTTAAATAACTGTCACATTAAAATAAAAACTGACGTTATTTTTATTAATTGCCATGGATACGTAGATACAATGGAATTATCGATTCCTAGTAGACAATTATCGCTGTAATCAAGCGATAATTGTCTTCTAGGCATATATAAGAGGGTAATTATCATTAATACAGTTTATTCATATTGAAGTATTTCTACATTTATGTTATGTTATGTTATAAGTCGACGGTCAGGAATTTGAGGGGGTTTTGGATTTTTTTATAGTAAAGGAAAGATTTTTTTCCAAATCCGGCCTAGGTCTGTTCAGGTAATTCCTAAAAAAAATAAACAACATTGGATAAAAAATATAATTATTCAAGTTAAAATTACGTCTGACGGGTACAAGTGATATTGTCGTACTATGATATTTAATTTCATAGTATTTACAAATAAACAAGGGTCATTTTCAAGAAACACCCGCTTTCAGGAAAATGAAGATCAAAATTTTTTTTTGCTTAAATTGACTTGTGGTTGGATTTTTATAAATGTTTAGAGTTTTGTTTACTTACATTTAAGATAGGCAGTGCACTTTTTAATTTTTTTTACGTTTTTTTCAGAAAAATGTGTTTAGCTAGCTTGATATATTTCCACTGTGTTACCAATTTGAAATCCAAAATTTAATTCAATAAAAAAAGTTGTTACCTATAAAAATAATTTGAAATAAAATGTACTTAGTTCACAAACTTTTAACTCCAATTTTTTATTTTATTTTTTATTAAAAATGGCATGGTTTTTTTAAATATGTATGTTCGTTAAGTTACTTTTTAAAAGAAACCATTCCGATTCTTTGTTAAAAAAACAATACCATTAATATTTTCTTTTAATCACTGTATTAGTGAGTTAAACTCTAATTTATAAACAAGTGATAGTGTATAAAAATCATTTTAAGTATTTTTTTTAACAAAAAAATTAACGAAATAGACATTGGTATCACAACGGACTGGGGTACACAAAGGACTTAATATCAGAACGTAAAAAAGAAACTATAAAGGGTGGTACGATTTTAGAGTAATGCATAAACAAAATCCCTTGTAGTGGTGCTCACTTGCAGAATAACAACTCAGATTTCTAAATTGTAGACACCCTTTTTCTTTGACTATAAGCTGGTGAAGGTCCCTTTTAGTACTTGTATATTGCGTGGAATTTTCCCTTGGATGTAATCTATATCATGAGTTGTAATCACAAATAATTTTAAATTGGTTTATCATAAACTACTTTTAATAAAATCGACGGTAAATATCCACTTTGTTGTTGAAAAATTCTATTACGTTACCCTAAATTCCATTGCGTTACCATAGGGTAACATAATGGACTCGGTAACGCAGTGGACAAAGTTTTGTGAAACCATATTTAAAAAATAATAATAAGACATAATAGTCATTAATTACTCTCAATGAGCTTTAGTGCCCTAAAATAAAAATAAACATGAAAAATAGTATTTTTTCTTATTTTTATTATTTTTTTGAGTAACTTAGCGGACAAACAATTATTACATTCGCGTTACTCGCACCTGTTTCAACCGATATCTTCTTCCTGATTGAATATTTTTGATTTTGATAATTTTTAACAAAGTTATTGGAATTCAAACTTACGGACAGCGGAAGGCGGGTGTTTTTTGAAAACGACCCACAAATACATAACCTACCTCATACTGTAACCCCATTTTCTTTGCAGGTCTTAGATGGCAACATCAACCCCTACCTGCCATCCAAGCGCGAGCTGGACCCCCCATTCTGGGCCAGCAAGATCCGGTTCTACCCTTACAGCAGCCACAAACGCACGGTGTGCATGCGCGTCGAGCTCTACGGCTGCCGATGGACGGACGGGATGGTGAGCTACACCATGCCGCAAGGGGACAAGCGCGGCTCGAACTGGAAGTTCTACGATTTCGGCTACGACGGCGAGTGGGACGGCAACGAGCTGAAACACGGTCTGGGGGGGCTGATGGACGGTAAGTTCGGGCACGACGACTTCAAAACCGACTTCCACAACGACGCCCAGCGATGGGTGGGCTGGAAGAACGACACGAGGCACAACAAGCCCATCGACATCAAGTTCGAGTTCGATAGAGTCAGAGAGTTCAGCGCTGTGCACATCTACTCCAACAACCAGTTCACCAAAGACGTGCAGGTGTTCGCGTTGGCGAAAGTGATGTTCAGCATCGGCGGTAAAAGGTTCAATAAAGGCGAACCAATCACGTACGAGTACATCGAGGATAAAATCTTCGAAATGGCTCGCAACATCACCATAAAACTGCACCACAGGGTTGGCAAATACGTGAAGTTGCAGTTCCATTTCGCCTCGAAATGGATGCTCATGTCCGAGATATCGTTCGACTCGGTGGTAGCGCACGGTAACTTCACGCCGGAACCGGAACCAACTCCATCGACCCACATAAAAACCCATGGCACTCACGAACACAAAATAGAAATCCCTGTGCCCAACGAAATCAACGAACCTGCGGTTATAGCCATCATCCTCATAGGTCTTGCTATAGTTATTCTACTACTTGGTGGAATAATACTATTAGTCTACAGATTCCGCCATAGAAAATTATTCCGAAGTCCCAACTCCTCAAACATCAACTTCCCTTCCAACACTCTTCCTCACTTGCAACCGGAATCAGTGTATGGTATAAGTGAAAAGGGTGGTTCGATTGAGGCGTATGGCGTCACAGAAATCGACGAGTATAGAAGAAGTCATAGTACCGTAAAATCGAGTTTGAGGTCGACGTTGCCGTTACCTCACCCTCACATGGACGGAAATGAATATCAGGAACCATATCAAGCGATGAAGTATGCTCCGTATTACAGTTACAGCTCCGTAGTGATGGAGATGCAGGATGTGATGCCGAATAGCATGAAAAAGTGTTCTTTACCACATGGTAAGTGCTAACCCAAGTAACACATGACTCTTGACTTTTATCCCGAAAAACATAGGTATAACATTTATACCCTCATAAAACCATATTTACATAAGAGACTCTTAAGGCCTATTTAGCTTTATGACAGTTAAGCAGTTAAAAGCAAATTTCTGGAGGAAACTGTCCTAAGACTATTTGCTTCTGCTGTAAGAACTTTTTACAGCTAATACTTTAATCTGCTTTATTATACTCTTGTGTGCTAGCTTCTCAAGAGCATTTTGTCTCGATGGCAATACATTATAGGCAGAGCTGGGAGTATCTTGAAAAAAAGATACTTTAAAGTAACTTAGATACTTATAGTATCTAAGATACTTCTTAAATTGGATAAAAAGTAGTGCTGTACAATTTAGCCGGTTAAGCCGGCCAAAAAAGTTAGCTAAGTTAATTAGCTAGCTAACTGATCAGCTTAGCTAATTTAACCGGTTAACTAAATTAGCTTAGCTAATTAGCTGTCGGCTTAACCAGTTAATTTAGCTTAGCTCAGCTAATTAGCTAACGGCTAACCGGCTAATTATTTTAAGCTATATAATGATTTCTTATTCACGGACAGGTTAAAAAAATATTAATGTTGATGTTGCTTTTATGACAAACAATAATAGAGTAATTTATTAGGTTAAATAATATTTTACATTTTATTTATAAAGTTATATCTCTTATCTATTTTGGTAAAGGAAAATTAATAAATTTGCATTTTCGGGAAGTAAGCAGTTCCCTTTAGAGCTTATAATATTTGCGGTTGAGGTGACAGATATCAAGTTGACGGATGACAAATAGCTGATGACAAATGACATGTGACAGATAAAAGTTGACAGATGTGACAGATGAAAATTGACATATGACACAACACAGGTGACAGATTACAGGTGTCATGTTCCACCTGTCAACTGTAATCTGTCATTTTTCAATTGTTATCTGTCACATTTCGTCTCTCACCTGTCATCTGTCACCTGTCAATTGTCATCTGTCACATTTCGTCTGTCATCTGTCACCTGTCATCTGTCATTTGTAATCAGCTATTTGTCATCTGTCAACTTGAAATCTGTCACCTGCTATCTAGCACCTCAGTCGGAAATATTATAAGCTCTAAACGGAACTGCTTACTTCCCGAAAATGCAAATTTATTAATTTTCCTTTACCAAAATAGAGATATAACTGAAAAAAAATTTAACAATTAATTTTAAAGCCATTTTTATAAAATTTATTAATTTAATAAAATGTAAAATATTATTTATCCTAATTAAATAAAATTATTGTTTGTCATAAAAGCAACATCAATATTATTATTTTATTAACCTTCCTCGAATAAGAAATCATTATATATCTTAAAAAAATTAGCCGGTTAGCCGTTAGCTAATTAGCTGAGCTAAGCTAAATTAACCGGTTAAGCCGCCAGCTAATTAGCTAAGCTAATTTAGTTAAATTAGTTAAGCTGATCAGTTGGCTAGCTAATTAACTTAGCTAACTTTTTTGGCCGGCTAAATTGTACAGCACTAATAAAAAGTATCTTTAACTTAGTTACTTTGGAAAAGTATCTTGTAACTTGAATCTGAAAAAGTATCTAAGTTACTCGGTAAAGTAACTAAAATACATCAAGTAACTTAGATACTTTTTAATGTAACTTAGATACTTTCTTAGAGAAAATTGTGGGAATTAATTACCTAACCTAATAACTTGTTGAATTTTTATAATTTTATAGTTTTTATTTATACTTAAAGGTAACTTAGTTACTCAAAAGTATCTTAGTTACTTAAAAGTTTCTTAGTATCTTAGATACTTCAAACTCAAAGTATCTAGTTACCCGAGGTAACTAAGTTATTTTGTTTAAAGTATCTTAGAAAAGTAACTAGATACTTTTTAGAAGTAACTTTCCCAGTTCTGTTACAGCAATAATAAAACCTAATGTTTTTTTAGATAATTATGATTATGCAGTACCAGAAGCTGGAACTCTACCTTTACTAGGTTCAGACAGTACTTTACCAATGACTAGAAATAGATTAAGTAGTATTTCTTCCAGAGGTCCTAGATTATCTTTAAGAAGCTGTCCTGGGGAAGGAAAACGGGTAAATAAACATCGTGAATTATTTAAAAAAAAATACTAATTTTTTCAACTTTAGTCTCCAACTCAACAGGAGGCACTGGCTGCTTTGAAAAAGCGTTTGGATGAGACAGCCCCAACTGAGTTTCCCAGGCACAGATTAAGAATGCTGTCGAAGCTGTCTGAAGGAGCTTTTGGGACTGTAAGATTAGGACCTAATTTTTGATATTTTTGTTTGAACGCTTATTTTTTCAGGTGTATATAGCTGAAGCTGACGGAATAGCCGAATATTCCTCGACAATGTCTTTAGGCACTAGACTGGTAGCTATCAAATTTTTAGGAGAAAACACCAACGAAAAAGAAAAGTAAGTCAAGTTTATTTATATCCCAAGTAGCACAACTAGTTAAATATCTAGCATTCCAAGTAAATTAACCAAAATCTAACTAAAATAACGTTTTTTTTTTAACTTGTATTCAACCATAAATAAAAATTTTAAAAGGTAAAAATAACCCTTTTTATTTTTTTTCTTATTTTTTTAAAGCGCATTTAAAATATAAAAGTATTATGTATTATTAAAAAATGTCCCATTGGAACTATCCCTTTAAAATATTAATTGATAAATTTTGCCAATATATGTACAATATAGGAATTACTATTCCTATGATTTTTGTGCAATCGCGATGGCCAACAATAAATGATCAAATTGTGCCTAATAATAGGCGAAAGCAGTTTGGATTAAGTTAGGTTAGTTACCGTTGGTTTAATTTTGTGAATATTTGGGCATGGAAAAACGATGACAATTTTTTTATGTTTATTTGGCAAAGCCATATTAATTAGGCTTTTGAAAAATTGACCAATGTCATGATATTGGTAAATATTTGGACAAATCCAGAGTATTTATAAATATTAAAATTATATTTGAAAGAATATTACCTACTACAAAAAATTCATTTTTAAGCTTTTTCTCGTTAACATTAAAATTTATTAATTTTTTGGAGAGTATTTGAAAATTGGCTAAATAAAACGCATTTTATAATAAAAATTAAAAGAAAACTATGAGGCGTCATATGTTCCATAATTATTTCATTCGAAATATAAAATGTTTTGCAGAAAAAAACAATATATAAGTAAAATTTACTACAATTTTGCATATATATATATTTCAAAATATAAGTTGATACGGTTCGAAAAAATATATATATATTGAATTTAGCACCATGCAAAGTTCGATATAATTTTTTTTGGTTTGAAAAGTTCCCGAGCGATGGCGCTACCTGTTCATGATTTTTATTTTGCATTAATGAAGTATTCGAATTGAAAAAAATCATCATTTGCACACGTATTTTTAAGATAACGGCGGTTGATTTATAAATTATACGGCTCGCGACGGTTCATCGATATTATTAATGATATTTAGGTATTTAAAGTAATAATTATTATACATTAGACTGGGCCAAAAAAATCAACTATTTTTCGTATATCGGAAATTTGGTTTGGGGTGACAAAAAAAATATTGTGAAAGTCGCAATTTTAAATTTTTTTTCCTCAGTAAGTTTTTGTCTCAGAACTCCCAAACCATTGAGTTTAACAAAATTGACATAGAAATATGTTTTAAGAAAAACTAAATGCTCTACAAAAACGGTTAAAATGAAATTTTCCGTCAGATGAACCGTTTCCTTAAAATCATGCCTTAAAAATAGGTATAGTTTTACATTTTGATCTTTTAACTTCGGAATTTTGTAATTCATGTAAAAATCAGTACCCAGAAAAAAAATAATCTTATGAGAAATCAAATGCTTTACAAAAAAAGTCTCTTAACATTTTTGGCTAAATTCACTCAATCAAAAGTTATTCAAGGTTAAAGTTGAAGTCAAAACGAAATTCTTGTTTTTTCCTCTGCAGATTTATTTTTTATGGATGATAATTTGATTTTTTCTTTATAAATGTGTATTATATAACTCATTAATAATATCCAATAAAAGAACAACATGATTGTTATTATTTAAACGATTAAATAGGTAACAGTGAAAATAATATTTTCTAAAGAAAATATCTTCTTAAAGCGAAAAAATTGTAATGTGTTTTTTTTTTATTTTCATTAATTTTATCAATAATAAAGATTATCATCGATAAAAGAATTCAAGTTTTTAACTTTAAAATCTAGAGCGGAAAAAAACAAGAATTTCGTTTTGACTTTTAACCTTGAATAACTTTTGATGGAGTGAATTTAGCCAAAAATGTTAGGAGACTTTTTTTGTAGAGCATTTGATTTTCCATAAGAATATCTATCGGATTTTTTTCTGGGTACTGATTTTCAAATGAATTATAAAATTCCAAAGTTAAAAAATCAAATGGAAAACTATACCAATTTTTAAGGCATGATTGTAAGAAAACGGTTAATCTGACGGAAAATTCTAATCAAACCTTTTTTGTAGAGCATTCAATTTTTTTCAAAAAAGATTCTTAAGACAATTTTATAAAACTGAATGGTTTGGGAGTTCTGAGACAAAAACACGTTTAGGAAAAAAATCTTAAATTAATATTAATAATATGTACTCAAACTTTTACCATAATTTTTTTTGTCACCCCAAACAATATTTTCGATATACTTTAAAAAAAATAGTTGATTTTTTTTGGCCCAGTCTATTATACATACACAAACAAAAACCATAAAAAGATTGCGCCACCGCTCGGGGACTTTTCAAACTAGAAAAATTTTATATCGAACTTTGCATGGTGCTAAATTCAATACATATATTTTTTCGAATCGTATTAACTTATATAAAACTTAAATTTTGAAATATATATGCAAAATTGTAGTAAATTTTACTTATATATTGTTTTTTCAGCAAAAGATTTTATATATCGAATTTTGGATTAAAATTTTTTAATTATAATAAAAAAATAAAAAAATTATAATCAAAAAATATTTTAAATAATAAAAATTGGAAAAAAAATATTTTTTTTATGAAAAGTTTTTTAATTGGTTTTGTAAAATAAGGCTTTTCTTTGAATTCTGGAGTTGCTTGGTTGTGTTTAAGGCCACGTCAATTGACGTGGTCCTTTAAAGGACCTCTGAAACTCTACAGCCAAGGTCCTTTAAAGGACCTCTGAAACTCTACAGCCCCAGGAGGAGGAAATCTCTCGTGTTCATGTAAACTCTTTAGAAAAAATACCTTTATAGGTGTTTTAATATTATTATATATCTATAATATATAGGTATAGTATCCTGCTTGTAATATGCCTTGTATGCATAAACAAATATATTTATCCAGAAAAAGGCGGTTCTTTTTCTCCACTGCAACTTCATGCAACAAGATGATAAACTATGACAATGAACAAAAAATAAGTACACAATATATAACTACCAATGTAAATTTGTATTACTTCAAAATTAACGACGAAAAGTAAGAAATTGTTCAATAATTGAAAAACTTGAACTCAAAATTAATAGCTGTTTAAAACTTAACAAACGGTTTATAATTTTTTTTAAATAACTTTTTCACAAATACTTTTTGACGTATTTTTGTAGAGAAGAAGGTCTTGAAATATTGATTTACTTTTTTCGACGCGACGCAACGTATAGAACTCGCTATTGCGCATGGTAAACTGATTCTTTATCCATGCTGATCAATTGTTTGTCAAGTTTTGACCATTTAATTAGCGTTAAAAACGCTTTGCCAATTTTCGACTAAACATTATAAACAAAGTTGGCCAAAAATAACTATAACTTAAGTCTTTATTTTTAAGCAGTTTTTGTCCAAATACTTGACTAATTTCTTTCCCAAACCTTGGTTCTCTGGGTAGTTCAATATTGCTTAAATGAAATAACCAGGCGTAACGTAAATTTAACGCAAATTCAACTAGTTGTGCTACTTGCGATGATAATACCCATAAACCCACTTCTTCTTCCAGAAAAGACTTCTACAGGGACGTGAGAATCCTTTCGGCTCTCGAAGACCCGAACATAGCTCGGGTGCTGGGAATCTGCAGCCAGGACGAGCCCCTCTGCGTGGTCATGGAGTACCTGGACCACGGCGACCTCCGCCAGTTCCTCAAGACCCACGTGGCGGCCGAGAGCACCTCCAACCTCCCGTACGGAGTGAAATCCCTCTCCTTCAACTGCCTGCTCTACGTCGGCTCCCAGATCGCGAGCGGGATGCGCTACTTGGAGAGTTTGAACTTCGTGCATCGCGATTTGGCCACCAGGAACTGCCTGGTCGGAAAGGGGTACCAGATTAAAATCTGCGACTTCGGCACCTACAACGAACTGTACACGGAAGACTATTACAAGGTAATAATAATAATAATAATAATCTTTATTCAAAAAAGCCTCTTGGGCAACGAACACGTCAATACAAAGAAATCCCAAGCAGCATTTTTGGTTCCAAAAACCATTGCCAAAGTGGTGATAACTTTAAATTAGTTAATTATACTAAACAGCTACTTTAATTTTTACTTAAAAGTAACTCTAACTTTTAAATAGCAATATTTTGTAACAGAAACTTAATTTTTCCTTAAATGGTTACTATAAAGTAATAAACATTTAAGTAAAACTTGGTTGCCCCCAAGAAGACTTTGCAACTTTAAAAAAGGTGTTATAAGTAAAAAAAACTTTAAAGTAAATTTAATTTGTAGCAGTTACTTTCGGTTGCTACCTAAAGCTTACATTATAATTATTTTTACTTTGTAGTCCGTTTGCAGGTTAAAATCTCGAAACTGGAACATGAGTTAAAAACTACAAAGTTAATAACTTAAAAGTATTTGGAACGTTTATGGTACTAACCAAAACAACAGTAAAGTGGAAAAAAACTTTAAAGTAGCGAAAACTACTTCAAAGGAAAATGCTTCTTATCGGCCATTTTTTACTGTACAGTACCACGTGGTAATGTAAATAATAAATTATTTTAATTGTTTGTAAATGGTTGTTTACTTTTTAATAAATAGAAATATTGTTGGTAATAGACGGTATTAATAATTAAATAAAAAAAATAATAATAAATATTAAGATTTTTTTATTTATAAACATTACTAAATAAATAATTTGTTTATACTTAAATATTGATTAAGCGCATTTATTTTACAAAAACTAAATTCATAAGTTTAACAGTAAAATTTAAAGGGTTTATAAATCTACCTGTCTAATTAAACATTATATTGTTATTCTGGAAGTTATAAACTACCAGTACATATTTAATAAACGACGACATTGAAAAGCCAAGTTCGTAGTGGTTCCATTTAAAAAAGGAGGGATAGTATAATCTAATATAAGTTTGACAAAGACAGTTAATATAGAAGTAAAAACAAATAATAAAAGTAATTATAACGCTCTAGCAACGATATTGGAACGTTCTAGAAACGTAGTAGCTACCTTCCAAATAGTAGCGGGGTTTATAGCTAGTGACATATTTGCTACCTTTTTGGAACTCAATAATTGTTCCCCACTTTAGTCGTAACTTAGTAATGAAAGAGTAATATAAAGAGACCGGCGACTGTCGCAAAACACTTTAAAGTTTCTTCAATAGTCCCATATACGTAACAAATACTTAAATTGTTGCTTGGGATATAAATAGCTGTATAGTGATACAATACAAGTACACAAAGTATTAACAATAATTGAACATACAAGGTAAAGATAAAATAACAAATTGGTAAAATAGGTTTTAAAATGGGCTTTCAACTAAAATATTTTAAAATTTATAATCATAAAATTCCTCTGTGGAGTAAAAACACTGAAGTTGTAATGTTTTTAAAATTTCAAGTTTAAATTTTTTATCATTTACTGTTTTTATATGATGTGGAATATGATTATAAATTTTTATTATTTCATTTTTTACACTTTGTTGAACTAATGACAAATTTGTTTTATCAGGTGGACGGGAATACGCCTCTACCCATCAGATGGATGGCGTGGGAGTCGGTGTACCAAGCCAAATACACCACGAAAAGCGACGTATGGGCGTTCGCGGTAACTTTATGGGAAATCTTGACCCTCTGCAGAAGGCAGCCGTACGACTCTCTGACAGACCCCGAGGTGATGGAAAATTTGGCGCGGCAACACTGCGACGACGGGCAATACTTGTACCTACCGCGCCCTTCGAATCACAAGGACATATACGATCTCATGCTCGAGTGCTGGAGGCGCAAGGATTCGGAAAGGCCCGCTTTCCGCGAGATACATTTGTTCTTGCAGCGGAAAAATTTGGGGTACGCTCCCGCATAGCTCGTCGGCGAGACTGGTTATTAGGTATAGAGGGATCAACAAGTTATGTAAATAAAACACAGGGTGATACTTTCTAATTTTGATTTATCGACAACGACTTAGGATGCTGTTTTAGTTTCGTTTTTGGGAACCAAGTTATTTATTTTTAAAATTTATTATCTTCGAAAAGATGTAAATTATTTATCTTCTACGGTGTGGTCCGTCAAAATTTACCTTGGAAGTAATTTTTGTGGATCATGCGAAGCTTTAAAATTTCTGGAGGTTTTTTTTTCGAAAAAAATCTTCCAGAAATCGCCTAAATCGTAGTTTAAAATGTGGCTTAGTTGCTTTAACCATTCGTTAAAAAAACCTTTCACAAGCACAATAATTCAAGACAATGTCTCTAGATATTAATATAATAAAAAAAGTAATAATATGAGTGTTATAATATTATTATAATATATTTACTAGTCAATTCGGACGCTGTAACATACTTCAACGAAAAAAAATAAACGACGAAATGGAGCAAGAGGTAAAAAAATGTATTCTAAAAATGTTTATCTTTGTCTTAAAAATGCTCCTTGCTTATTACGTATAAGGTATAGATCTGTAGACCTAATTTTCTAGTTACCACTTTTATAAATACATTATTAAGAATATTATAAAGTTTTGTATTAAAAAGATATAGACACTTTAATAACTGAACAAAAAACGAAAAAATGATATATATTTAGAGATCTCAATATAACCTGTATATTATGAAAAAAATGGGTGTACAATTAAAAATCCTTTAAAATGAATACCAACAAGATATATTTTAATCGGAAAACAAAACAGATGACGTTTTTACGAAAAATCATGGCACACTAGATTGAAACGTTTTTTAACGATTACAGGCTTATTTTTAACTAATATATAACAAATTATACATCATTTAAAAGTTAATTTCGCGCTCTTTTTAAATATTAAAAAATATTTATAATATATTATTAAACAATAAAAATATTTTACCTTTCATTAAAGTTGTAGAAAATCAAATTCTCTTTCATGTGATACCAAACTTGACATATTTTGCACGAAAAACAAACAAGTTATAATTAAAAAACACTTCTCCATGGCAATCTACGATGATTATTGTTTTTTGCGTTTATATCCTTAATCCTGCATAAAATTATAACATCCAGCACATCACTTTAAAGAATTTTTAATTCCCCAAAAAATAAACCACCATTATACAGGGTGGCTGTAATCCCAAGGCCACACGGCTTTATAAAGTCTCTAAATGTGTGATTTTTTCTAATCTAATAAAGGAAGCTTTATAAACTTCTTAAAAACATATTATTTAACATATTGTACTTTCATTTTTATATTCACACAAGAAATGCTCGACAATGTACTAATATATCTAATGTATATTTAAAAAATATACTACCCCTTAGTTTCCTTGTATTATATTTTTTATTATGTGCCAAGAGCTCACTAAACTCTATTTATTAGTCATCACAGCAAAATATTTTACTACGTACAACGCATAAGTCACCAAAACAGTAAAATATTTTTTTATAAGCACAATGCTGTGTGTAAATTTGCTTATCTAAACGCTTACATAATGTAACACTAATATTTGAGCCATTGTTAAGTTTTTTAATTTTCTTATTTTCAACAAAATGTAATCACCATTCTTAACATTCCAAATAAATAATAAGGGGCACAAATATTACTGATAGTTGCAATAATAATTTTTTGTGATTTAGTTGTTGTGTATTTTATTAATTACTGCAAATAATTGTCAAGTAATAACATATCAATAAAAATATACAAAGAAAATTACACTTTTATTTCAGTATTCCCATACAATTTATTGAGAGGACCCCGTAGATAAAGACATCTGGGTTGCCTATATTTAAACTCCAAATTATAATTTTGTTTCTTGAAATATTTAATAATTTCACATTAAATTAATTTTACCAAGCCAAATACACCACGAAATGCGACGACGAAATGGGCGTTTGCGGTAACTTTATGGAAATCTTGACCCTCTGCAGAAGGCAACCATAAGACTCTCCGACAAACCCCCAGGAGATGAAAAATTTAGCGAGGCAAAACTGCGACGACGGGCTGTACTTGTACCTACCCCGGCCTTCGAACCACAAGGACATATACGACCTTATGCTCGAATGCTGGAGGCGCAAGGATTCGGAAAGGCCCGCTTTCCGGGAGATACATTTGTTCTTGCAGCGGAAAAATTTGGGGTACGCTCCCGCATAGCTCGTCGGCGAGACTGGTTATTAGGTATAGAGGGATCAACAACTAATGTAAATAAAACACAGGGTGATACTTTCTAATTTTGATTTATCGACAACGACTTACTGTTTTAGTTTCGTTTTGGGAACCAAGTTATTTATTTTTAAAGTTTATTATCTTCGAAAAGATGTAAATTATTTATCTTCTACGGTGTGGTCCGTCAAAATTTACCTTGGGAGTAATTTTTGTGGATCATGCGAAGCTTTAAAATTTCTGGAGGTTTTTTTTTTTCGAAAAAAATCTTCCAGAAATCGCCTAAATCGTAGTTTAAAATGTGGCTTAGTTGCTTTAACCATTCGTTAAAAAAACCTTTCACAAGCACAATAATTCAAGACAATGTCTCTAGATATTAATATAATAAAAAAATAATAATATGAGTGTTATAATATTATTATAATATATTTACTAGTCAATTCGGACGCTGTAACATACTTCAACGAAAAAAAAATAAACGACGAAATGGAGCAAGAGGTAAAAAAAATGTATTCCAAAAATGTTTATCTTTGTCTTAAAAATGCTCCTTGCTTATTACGTATAAGGTATAGATCTGTAGACCTACTTTTCTAGTTACCACTTTTATAAATACATCATTAAGAATATTATAAAGTTTTGTATTAAAAAGCTATAGTCTCTTTAATAACTGAACAAAAAAACGAAAAAATGATATATATTTAGAGATCTTCTCAATATAACCTGTATATTATGAAAAAATGGGTGTACAAATATAAATCCTTTAAAATGAATACCAACAAGATATTTTGATCGGAAAACAAAACAGATATGACGTTTTTTACGAAATATCAAGGCACACTAGATGGAAACGTTTTTACGATTACAGGCTTATTTTTAAGTAAAATATATCAAATTATACATCATTTAAAAGGTAATTTCGCGCTCTTTTTAAATATTAAAAAATATTTAAAATGTATTATCAAACAATAAAAATATTTTCACCTTTCATTAAAGTTGTAGAAAATCAAATTCTCTTTCATGTTATACCAAACTTGACATATTTTGCACGAAAAACAAACAAGTTATAATTAAAAAACACTTCTCCATGGCAATCTATGATGATTATTGTTTTTTTGCGTTTATATCCTTAATCCTGCATAAAATTATAACATCCAGCACATCATATTAAAGAATTTTTAATTCCCCACAAAATAAACCACCATTATACAGGGTGGCTGTAATCCCAAGGCCACACGGCTTTATAAAGTCTCTAAATGTGTGATTTTTTCTAATCTAATAAAGGAAGCTTTATAAACTTCTTAAAAACATATAATTTAACAAATTGTACTTTCATTTTTATATTCACACAAGAAATGCTCGACAATGTACTAATATATCTAATGTATATTTAAAAAATATACTACCCCTTAGTTTCCTTGTATTATATTTTTTATTATGTGCCAAGAGCTCACTAAACTCTATTTATTAGTCATCACAGCAAAATATTTTACTACGTACAACGCATAAGTCACCAAAACAGTAAAATATTTTTTTATAAGCACAAAGCTGTATGTAAATTTGCTTATCTAAACGCTTACATAATGTAACACTAATATTTGAGCCATTGTTAAGTTTTTTAATTTTCTTATTTTCAACAAAATGTAATCACCATTCTTAACATTCCAAATAAATAATAAGAGGCACAAATATTACTGATAGTTGCAATAATAATTTTTTGTGATTTAGTTGTGTATTTTATTAATTACTGCAAATAATTGTCAAGTAATAACATATCAATAAAAATATACAGAGAAAATTACTCTTATTTCAGGATTCCCATACAATTTATTGAAAGTACCCCGTAGATAAAGTCATCCTGGTTGCCTATATTTAAACTCCAAATTATAATTTTGTGTGTTTCTTAAATGTTTAATAATTTCACATTAATTTAATTTTAATTTAACCCTTTCACTACTGGCGTATATTTTAAGAAAAAACAAAATAAAGGTTTTTATTTACGATATAATAAACAAAGTGGTCTTTTTCTTTTTATTGATCAAACATCCCGCGGCTAACTTCACACGGTGCACCTAACCCAACTTTTCATAAGTCAATATTATTTGGTAAATATTTATCGTCTGCCAATTTATCAGCGTAAATTTGTGTAAAAACCATAAAAAACATTTATAAAGTGCGTTCCTTTCGTATAATAAACGCGACATTCTTTAATAACTCGGTTGAATTAGTGTGATCTATAAAAAGAAACGTCAAAAACTATTGGTCGGATTCAGTGAAATGGTGGTGTGTTTACAATATGATTTTTTGTGATAAATGATTAGTTTTTGCGGGAGATTAAGAGATTAACGTGATTGGTGAGTATTATTTATTTGCTATTTGTTAATTTACAATGTTTTTATACATTAAATGCTACTTTGTTGTAGTATGAAATGTGGTAGTTAATTGTATGCGTATAGGGGGGATTATTTGGTATTTGGAATGTTAAAAAGGTTAAAATAATCTATTAACAACATAGTTCGTATACACAAATGATTCATTGGTTTTATTAGTCTTTTTATGTCCAGGAAATAACTTTTTCTTTTTATTTACCTAACATTTAAATAGGTTTATTTATGGATAAGAAATCACGACTTGAGTCACTGACTTTATTATAGTGCCAAAAAGTTTTTAAACATTATTTATGGCTTTGTGTTTATTTTAAATAACTTATTTAGGTTAGTTTAAACTACCTACTTATAACTGTACTCGACTGTATTAAAATCTATTTGATTTTTCTCCATGAAAAAAATAATTAGGTATTAATAATACCGTATTATTACTAATAATTTATTAGATGTGTTGCCTAGTTGTTTTACCTTAAATGCTTGATAACTTGAAAACTACTTGTTTGTGTTTGTTTTTTGGGTTGTATATTTTATACTTTTAATTTTGCCAATTAAATACACAATTAATTAATTAAATTAATTAATTTATGTTTTGTTAAATTAAATTGATTTTTTATGGTTTGATTAAAATTCGCTTTAGTGCCATGTGCAATGCACAAGTTATTACTTTGGTTGCTACCAATATCCTTTTATAGCTATTAATAGGAAATTAGTCTGTTAAGTAGAGTAGTAAACTTTTATAAATTAAAGCATATTACACTAGAATTACTTATTGTGAAGGACGATTTTAATTAAAATTTTAATGACAGCAAATTTTTTAGTTTTGCGTTATCATCTTTATAAAATATTGG